GTTGCAATGATCGTTTAAGTATAGTCACTGTTTTCAATACTGTTGTAACTTCCGAACGGTCACTAAATGAACTGTTGCAAATCGAGGACTACTTGTTGTGAGAAATCATTTCTTGAACCTGCATTTCCCAAAACAAACAAGTATTACAATTATTTTCTATTTTAATGAATTATATGTTGGTAAGGGGTCCCCAACCAGAGGTGGGTTTCAGTAGGTTCTAACCAGTTCTGGAGAACCGGTAGCGGAAATTTTGAGTAGTTCGGAGAACTGTTAGTAAAAATTCTGACTGGCCCCGCCCCCATCTATTCTCTACCTCCTGAGTACCAGATGATTGGGAGGAAATGGGGATTTTGTAGTAACCTTCCCCTGGAGTGGGGTGGGAATGGAGATTTTACAGTATCTTTCCCATGCCACGCCCACCAAGCCACGCCCATCAAGCCATGCCACACCCACAGAACCGGTAGTAAAAATTTTTGAAACCCACCACTAGTCCCCAACCCCTGGGCCGCAGTTCACTACAGGGTCAGGGCCTATTTGGAATTGGGCTGCACGAGAGGCCGGCTGGCATGCACTCATGCGCAGCTTGACTTGCAGTCGCGATGTATGCACACTCACATATGTGCCGGCCTGCTACTCGCTACTCTTCCCCATCCCCAGTCACAAAGTCACAAATGTGGGACCACTGGTCTAAACCACCTATCATTCTTTTTTGAAATCTAAAATAGGAATTTAACATCACAAGTAAATTCAGTTATGGTACCTACATTGGTTTCACTAACTGCATGCCTCTTATTTAGGATGCCTTAAAAAGAGGGGGAGGGGCAGACATTCTGCTCTACGAAGCAGGCCAGAAGGAGCTAACTTTTGCTTTTCTTGCACACTGGACTCTCAGCTGATGCACATCCCTCTTTGTCAACAAATAGCACACATTTTTTGCTGACTAATTGAGCTGGATAGCTTAGTCAACTCCACAGTCCTACTTTGTGCTCTAAAATATTTCTGGTTATTTAGAAGTAGCAGTGAAGGGTTCATTCTGGGGAAAGCACCTAATCTATTAGTATGTTATTATGTTGCACAGAAAATGCAGGAGGAGCAGATTCCATTAATCCTATTTGTGCAATCCAAGTCCCGCGATTAGGTCTAAACTGGAAGTTGTTAACATACTTTTCTTGCTTCGAGCATTTTAACAAAATGATCAATTAGCTTCTTTAATTAATTATGGCTTCAAAATGATGCAAACTTATCCCTCTTCACATGCTCCAAACAAACATTAATACTAATGTAACAAAGGGGATTAATTAGTGGAAGTATCCCCAGAAGAATCACATCCACAATATTTTGCAGTGATGATAACAACAAACCATTGACTAACAACCATCTGCTTCCATTAACAAAGCAGTGGTGAAATCTGAACCGGTTTACTACCAGTTCGCTGGCTGCGCATATGCAGTGCGCACCACGCACCACATGCAAGGTGCGTGCGTGCAGTGCACGCCAAAAGGAGGCATGGGGTAGTAGAACAGCATGCGAGGGGGGGAGATGATCAGCTGTGGCATGCAATCTTTTTTTTTTTTTACTTTTAAAAGCATTGCTTTTAAAAGTAAAAAAAGCCTCTGACGATCGTGCTGCTGAGCTGTGATCATCAAAGGTTTTTTTTACTTTTAAAAGCATTTGTTTTGCAACCTCTTCAGCCGAAGAGGTTGTAGAAAAAATGCTTTTAAAAGGCTCTGACGATCCCAGCTGAGTTGCCTGATCGTCAGAGGCTTTTTTTTTCTTTTAAAAGCATTTTTTTCTACAACATCTTCAGCCAAAGAGGTTGTAGAAAAAATGCTTTTAAAAATAAAAAAAAAAAAAAGCCTCTGATAATCGCACAGCTCAGCTGGGCATGGGCCGGGGGGGGGAGCAGGGATTTTTGCTACCGGTTCTCCAAACCACCCGCCGCCACTGCTACCGGATCGGGTGATCTGCTCCAACCGGGAGCATTTCACCCCTGTAACAAAGGATATTTGCATGTATTTCCCCATTCCCCTTAATATTTCAAATGTGATGCATTTCTTTAGATATTCTGCAGACAGAAAATGAACCTCTCTTCAATCAAGAGGTAAAGCTTTAAATTGCTACTTGCCATGATTTTTTTAAAAAAATTCTATCTTTCTTATATAAACTAATATTTACTCATGAATCAGTAAGAACCATAATATGCTCTAGAGTCTGAGGAATTCTAGGAATCAAAATCCACATATCTTAAAACTGACAGTTTGAAAAACACATTTCTAATTGATCAGCAGAGAAAAATTGTCTAAAAACTTTCAATAACAAGGTGAAATTATCCGAACACCATCCCTTTTTGCCAAGCCAGACCCCTTGGTTCTTTTTTGAAGCAGAATATGTCATTTTCTTTAGCATTACAAAACTTGGAGGAAAATACATTTATTTTGCTCAGCCTCTTGTCTACAACTAAGGAGAAAGGCAAGACAGACTGAGCTTAAAGTTTTGCACTACACACAGAAATAAAAATGTAGGCAAATCGAAATTGTTCCAATCTGATTCCTAATCTACCAAAATAGCATTATATTTTTTTGGATGTGCCATGCCACTCGTAGTTTGTTTACTTCAGAAGGGTTTTTACTAATTATAACTTCAATGTACACTATGGGAAATCACATGCTCCATGCTGACTCCATTGTTTTGAGTTTCCTCTCTGGTGTGTGGGTATATATATATATATATGTATATGTGTGTGTAAAGGTTGGATAATACATTAGGAAGGAGATAAATATTTACATGCCTATCCCTTGTAAAGAGTAATGCCTAACAGACTCATGGAAATTACCAGATAAAGTAACAAATTATACAGCTTTGAGAGAAAAGGGAGAGGAATGACTCATTTCATCCTATTTATAAATCTCAAATCTATTTTATTGTATATAGGTTTGGGATTGGGAGGCATTCTATGTTGATTTTCCTAGCCAAGCCACCCTGAACAGGAGAAAAGCAAGGTTTTACACTTAGGCAGGAAAAGCAAAGGTACAAGTACAGATAAGATTAGGTTAGATTGGCTCAAAAACTGTAAGAAGGACCTTAGAAGTATCCCTTCAGTAGATGTAAAAAATAAATAAAGCAATTTTAAAAAGGCAGATTGAAATTTCTCATCAAAATTTGTTATGGCTTCCCATTTCAAAAGACTTCTTAAAGAAAGCCTCCATATGTAAAGCTTTACCCATGAAGGCTTCCAGATAGGTTTGAGCCCTAATTGTACAGAGATTGTCTGATTCAGAGAGTAGCTTCAAATCATACATCATAGGCAACCACTCAATTTCTCCAGGATGCGGTTAAAAAAAGGCAAGATGGCCACTGCAATAGTGCTATCTGAGGGATAGCCATTTTTTCTATGGAAGGCACATAAAAAGATGAAGAGAGACTGCATTGTCACAGTCACCATCTTCATTTTTTTTTGTCCATAGTCTGCCGACATCTTTGGTTTCCACTACAGGTATGTCCATTTTCCCTGCCTACCATTATTTTCTCTATTTTTGTAATACATTTCTCCTATGTGTGTATTGTTCTGATTATTGATTAGTTAATATGGTCCCAAATATACATAATGGATGCATACATTTTTCAACAACATCGCACTGCAACACACACAGGAATTGTTAATAGAACATGAATACTTTATTCATTTATTTTTTATGGTTACAAATGCATACCAACATAAGGCCAAAGACAAGACAGATTAACATCAGACTCTAATGTTTGAGCTTTACCTACAATTGTGTCCTTCCTGAAAACCTTAAAAGTAATTTGGATATGTCCTCATTAGTAATCCTGTAAGATAGATTGTTGAAAAAAATGTTGCTCAACATCAGTGATGGGTGAAATTATTCAAAATTATTGGAATACATTAGGGATTAATCAAAATCCCCAAAACACCTTTAGGAAACGTACAATGCCAAGTCACTGACAGTGGGATTATATACATCAAGCTAGCTATGAAAATTAAATAGATGATATTCTACAGATGCATCTAAATGTCTAAAAAGGAAATGAAACTAAAAGTAATGGACAACCATGTAATAAGGCTATCTTCATCAATCATATAAGCAAAACAAACTTGGATCCAATGCCAGAAGTTTCTAAATTTATAAAATATTAGGAAGAAAATTAGTATTTTTCCAAGAGACACATGTGCTGCTGAGAAAAACAAAGGAACTTTGCAATTCTGTCTTTATTCTTTATTATTTATAGGTAGTCCTTGATTTATGACTATATTAAACCTACAATTTCAATCGCAAGTCATGTTGGTTGTGGAGTGGGCCACCACATGACTAGATCTGATTTTACAACCTTTTTTGTGATGGTCATTGAGTAAATCCAACAGTCATAAAGCAACCCTATTGCTTGCTGTTGGCTGGATTTTACCGGAAACTGGAAATAAACACCAATTTCTGGCAAAACCATTGATAAATCGTGATCATAGGATTGTAAGGTTCTGCAAATAGTGATAAATGCAGGCTGGTTGCCAAGCACCATGCCATGCAGTCACATGACAATAGGGGGGGAGGAGTTGGTGACCTGGATGTCACAACTTTGCAACGAGGTTGTAAGTCCCATTTTTCAAAACTTCAAATGGTTGCTAAGCAATCAATTGTTGATAACTAATTAGATATCATAAAAATATGAACCAGGGAATTTCTGAAGTTGCAAATTTGATAAGACTGCTAATTTTCACCTGATGTCAACCTTCCTATCTAGACAAAATCATGAAATAACTGCAGGTTTTCTAAGCTATCTGTATAACTTAACAGAAACTTGTAAGTACAATTGTGCTGTACCTTCTCCTCATTACAGTTCAATGAATTAGAAGAAGTGTCTGAGATATTTCCAAATGTTATCTGAATGTTTTGGAATTTAAAACTGCTTTAGTACTATGTACTACACCTGAATACCTCTGTCAAACTTATCTTTGTTACTCTTTATACCTGCAAAATTCACCTTACCTTGTAGGCAGCTTGCCTCATAAACTGCTTTGCAGGCTGCTTCCAGATAGCAGGCACTGTGATGACCCATCGCACATCAGAATTTTCAAACTCTGACCCAGCTTGGTCACTCAGTTCCTAAAATAATTGGAAGCAATGCAGTGGTGAGATATAAAATTAGAACCAGCTGTTTCAAAACTCAGTAACACTTTTTAGTGGTTCCCGTGGAAATTATTTTCTTGCTTCTTGCACTGTCTGTCTGTCAATATCACTCAACCTGATTGAAACAGAGGACTGCCTAGATAGCTAAATCAAGGTTTCAATTTCATCCTATCAAGGAAGTCGGAAAATAGAATTCAGGAAGGACAAGTATTTCTCCAAAACAAAGGCCCAAATTGAACAAATATAATATTGCATTATGCTGAAGTCTGGTCCAAATGTCTTTCCCTAGAATTAATCAGGTTTCATGACACTTGTTGTAAACTTCTATCCATTCTATTATCCTTTCTTTATTGAAAAGGGTTGCTTTATTTAAAGGAAACATTCTAATTAAATCACTTTTTTTTTCCATTTTAAAACTTGGGAGTTAACTGCAATTTTTTTCCCTGTGTAGGCGTTTACTGCTTGGGTTTTTTTTTTTAAATAACAACAGAAGCGTCTGTTCTTAATGTATAAGGGAAAATAGCTCTGTGTTTTCTTTAGGCATCTGCGTCCAATTGGTTGCTGGTGGTATTTATGATGAGGAATTCCATCACGGGTAACAACTTTGTGTATCTTTTTTGTTTTCCAGAAAACGAATGAAAAGGTGTAATGTCATTTCCTTGAGAGGAAAAAAATATGTGGTTAACCAACAGTACAGTGATAAGATCTAAAACTTGCAGCTGCAAAGGGAAGGTCTTTCTAGCAATGCTATTAAAAAAAAATACCTAAGAAATAATGCTATTAAATCTTTTTTTTTTTTCTTAAAATCTGGTCTTTCCTCAAGATGCGACTCAGCATGTTACTGTGAAGATTCTCCAGTTTCCTTTGATGTGTGCCTTTGCTCCTAATTTTATAGCTTTTTCAAAGACAAGAAGTCAGCTACCCCCCAATGCCATATTGCAATGCGGCTGGGGTGGAACTGCGGTGACTGGATATTGTTCAACTCAAGTGACAGCATCTAACCAGCCTTAGCTGATACCAGACCTTCCTTCTTGTAGTCTGGACAGGAAATAATTAATTCCAGGAAAAAGGACCTCAGAGCCTGATTAATAGTATTTTACTGGAAGGAATGTTAAAATTACAACATACAAATTCCAGCAATAACTCTACTTCTGTTTGAGAAATCTTTTATCTTTATAATCTAACCAAATCTAACCAATACAATAATCTAAGGATTATTCTCCATTTTCTCATTCTTTTTTTAATGTAGGGAGATGGGACCTGAATTAAGGAGAAACTTCCTAATAAGAAAAACAATTAACCAGTGAAACAGTTTGCCTTTAGGTGTTTCATCACTGGAGGTTTTTAAGAAGAGTCTGGATAGCCCCTTGTCTCAAATTGTATAGGACCTCCTCCTTGAGCATGGGATTAGACTAGAAGACCACCAAGGTCCCTTCAAGATCTATTCTGATTGATTGACTCAGCTCTTCTATGAAGCTGGTGTATTCTGCCCACTGTTCATTGTAATTGTTTTGGTAACTGTTCTTCCTATTGTCAATATGAGAAATAAATCTCATAGCTAACCTAAAAAAAATATTAAGCAAGGCTGGGATGATTAATATTGGGATGGGAGATCTGTCACGTCCCAAGCTGTAGGCTAGATGGGAAAGAAACCTATTTCTAATGATCTCATATAAATGAGACCTGGAGGGCATTGGCCATATTCAATCCGATTAGACAAGAAAATTACTATAGAAGAAGGCAGCTTGTCAGATAACCCAGTCCAGAGCCATTTAGGGCTGAAATAAATGGGGTCAAATAGTCCCTTAAATCAAACCTGGAAGCCAAACAACAATCGACATTGCTCTCAATATAGAGAGGTCAATGAGAAGTACCCAACATCAACCACACTACGTTTTGCAACTTCTGAATACTTTCCAAGGCCACTCTATGTACAGCACATTACAGTAATCCAAATGGGAAGGGACTAAGGCATAAGAGACTGTGGGCACATTTTATTTTACGTCCCATTCCTACTGGCATCCTTCTCTATGGTTACTACTATTCTGCCACTGGCTGGCAATGCCACATTTATCTAGACAGGTTAGCTTTGAGACTAATTTGCTGCAGTTGATATTAATCTGCTAAGAGCTCCTTATATATATTTTTGTTGTATAGTTTTTAAATTATAAAATTTCTATTCTATTTGCACTGCTGAACATTTACACCTCAGTTTTTATGAGGGAAAAAATTCATGTACATGTAATCAACTTGAAATAAAAACCTCTCCAAACCTCAATAAATATTGTGAGCCAGTAAAGAGTTGGAAATAGACATAAGCAAAACCATCATTCAAAGTCAAAGCAATTGCTTTCTTACTGAGATTGTATCTGCCACTCCTATTTCTTAGAAACCAACTGGGGAGATTCATGTCTTTGATCATGGCTATGGTATGCAGGACAGATGGATTTAATTTTTTACCTATAACAACATTTCCCATAGAAACTCTTCTTATGTTTCTTTGGCACCGAGTGCTACGTATTTTGCAACCAAGAATTATTTTGCTTCCATGATTCTGAATCAGGACTAGGAACAGGAAGGGAAGAAAGAATTTATTATGAAAAAGAAGAAAGATTTGGAAGCCAATGCATTAAAATATGTGCTCCAATGAAATGGATAGTTTGAGTTCCAAAAATTCTGCAGCTTCAGAATACTTCACTGAGAATACTTCCAGAAACAGCACAATTAAAGTGATTTCAATTGTATTATCTTGTACTTTGTCTATAGCATTTATACTTAAACAATTATGAGAGAACTCCAACAGAGCTGGAATTGAATAGAAAAAAGAAGACTAGCCTAATGGGAATGGCCTGACATGGAGATGGGCTTTGTGGCTTCTCCACAGATTAGAGATGCCCATAGCCTTGGGTCACAACAAGCAACCACATTGAACAGATAAGCAGGCTCTCTATAGGACTTTGAGGGAACACAACATTACCTATGATACGAATCTATGAGAATGATAGTCCAATTAACTTTGCGATGACAAATCAACTCAGGGACTTATCTCTGTTTACCAAATGACAGAATATGGAGAAATCCCTTTCTGAATGCCCCACAATCAAAAATCAGATCCTTGGGTTGTTCTTATTCAACTCTGCTTTCTGATCAAACATGTAATTATTAACATATAAAAGCAAAATTATTTGTTGCCAAGAATTATGTCACATTAAGACCATTTTCTGAATACAGTAGAACCTCTGGTCACGACCATAATTCGTTCCATAACTTTGGTCACAACCTGATTTGGTCATGACCCAAACCTAATTTTGGAAATTTGGTGCTTACAAAAAAAATGGTGTGGAAGGGGAAATTGGCCACAAAAAAAAAAATGTGATTTTTTTGGTCGGACCCCGATTTGGTCGTAGTCAGAAACATGCCTGACCATAGGTTCTACTGTATGCTGAAGCAGCACCAAATGGTTGCCACTGAATACTGTGGAAGAAAGTTATCAATGTATGCAACATTGTATGCAAGGACGGAATCTTCGGGAATGTCTTCTTAGTGAGGAAGGAAGGAGTTAAGTAGTTTAGATGTTTTAACGTCATCAGTATTTCTACATTTCCTACAGCTGCTCCACTTTGTTTATATCAAAAAAACTGCTGCAGGCTGGAATTTGGCAAGGTTAAAATGGTTGGACAGCATTTTGTGACAGCTACGAATATAAAAAGCTGGAAATAGAATCTGAGGGGTTTTTACCTTTAATGCTTGTTCCTTAAAGTACTGCAGAGCATAGGCAAATATTTCAAGGGCCTTGACTTTCTTGCCATTTGCTGCTGACAAGTCAGTTTCCAGAGTCAGGTTCTGAAGAAGAAAACAATGTTCTTAAGTAGCAAATGTTAAACCATGCTTTTTGACTTGAAATACAACACTGAGCTTCAATCATTATGCCTTCTGATTAATACTCACAATTCTGACTGATTTTAGTTTGTGTCATTTTATTTTTATTATTTTGCCCTTCTTAATTGTGATTTGCAAGTTTACCGTGATGCTGCCTCGATGCAGATGGCTCCAGTAAATCACAGGTAGAGCTGAGATTAAGTACAACCATTATATATGGTGGTCTGACTGGACACTGTGTTGTACTTTAGTTGTTTTGGTATTTTTTTTTAAATCTCATTGATGCATCTGTTTTATTGAGGCAATTGCTTGGGGAATGTGAAGAGTAGCAGCATGATAACATTTAAAATTTAAAAGGAGCGTTTTAAAATAAAGCTTTTCCTATAAGTAGTCCTTGACTTATGATTGGCCGCTTAGTAACCGTTCAAATTTATGATGGACCTACTGGGAGTTACTTACAACTCAGATTCAAAGTTCTGATTATTGGCCCCTATGGTCACATGACCAAACTTCCGGTGCTCAACAATTAGGCTTCATTTAAAGCTGGTCCTACAGTCACGTGATCACATTTTATCAAAAAGGGGCATTTACTTTCAGTTTTTAGCAAAACCACATTCATAGTGATACTGATGTGCTTAATGCCATTTTATAGCTACCACAAAAAAGGTTGGACAGGTTCCATTATGGTCATAAGTAGAAGACTACATCTCTTGTGAGATTGGTCTACCTCTTGCGCAGATGAGAGAAAGTGAGAAGTGTTATTATGGCTAGTTATGCCTTGATACTATATAACCAGGGGAAACAGCTACAGAAATTTATCCCACTTTTTTATCTATCCCCATAAAGGTAGCACAGGTAAGAAATGCCTTATCTGTCTCACATACTAATGCTGGACGATATGCAAAGTAAGGCTCCCCATGAAAACAAGTTGGCGGCAGAAGGATTTATGCAAAAATGCTAAGTCCAGGAGTAGCTATGGCTGGGGCACGAAGACCCAGAGAACTTCTAGGAAAAGGGGTGAAGCCTTTAGCTTTCTATTTGATGGGCTCACCTTTTTTTTGCTATAGTTTGCTATAGTATTGTAGTCCTCAATTTATGACCACAATTGAGCTCAACATTTCTGTTGTTAAGTGAGACATTTGTTAAGTGAGTTTTACCCCCATTTTACTACCTTTACGATTTGCCTCAGTTGTTAAGTGAATCACTGCAGTTGATAAATTAGTAACTTGGTTGTTAAGTGAATCTGGCTTCTCCATTGGCCTTGCTCGTCAGAAGGTCGCATTGCTGTTGTAACTTTAGACGGCCACTAAATGTACTGTTGTAAGTCGAAGACTACCTGTATATATTACTAATGATGAACACCTATTTGAATCTGAAATGGAAAATGTGCGATGGATGGGACATGGGTATGCTCATTTCACCTATCAATGACTCCTTGAAGAAGGCATTTTTACAGTCCTATTTATCCTGGATTTTCATTTCAATATGATCTCTCTTTTATACTTGATTATGTTTATAAAAGACAGACCTGCAATATGAAGGCTTAAGGCTTAAATCCTACATTTATCAGTGAGTTTACTCATAAATGGCTTGTTCACAGGGAAATTCCAGCCCAGACATGTAGTCCTCAACTTACAAGAAATCACTTAAGAACGGTTTGCAATCATGACATCTTCAGAAAGGGTACGTTATGACCTGTAAAGCATTTCCAGACACCATAAACTGTCGCACTGGTCTGTCAATCCCATTAGTTCACTTTTATGACCAATTGCTAAGTGCCTTGCAATCATGTGATCATTATTTGCAATCTTCTCTGCTGGCTTCCCCAGAAAGTCAATGGGAAGCCAGCAGGGAAGGTTGCAAATGGTGGATTTGAGGTCTATTCCCCTGTATGCAGAGAGGGGAAACCTGGCAGAAACACAAACCTCACTTTTCTCAGGCTTTCTGTGCAGCTGGGGGAGAATCTTGGCAGTCATATCAGACCTGCCCAGGAAGGAGGCAGCATATTCCAGAGAGAAACCCAAAATAAGAGACAAAATTAGGAGTCCTGAACTAGAAGTTTAGAGGAAAAAGTTTATCCATAGCATAGAACTTCCCAGGGTATAATTATTAGGTTAGACGGTTATAGCTTTAGTTTGGCAAGTTCTATTTATTAGATGTAATTAAGTACAGAATTGGACTCAATTGGACTTTACAGCGTCCTTTTTGGGCTTAGTCCTAACATTTTCAGAATACTGGAGTTTACAAGTATTTTCCTCTCTGCGTCTGTGTGTGTGGAAACTCTGGTTGTAAAGAAAATGGGTACAAAAAAATTAAGATGTAAAAATGCTGCAGAAAAATATCATTTATTTATTTGGATAGTATGTTAAAACAAAATGTTCATTATATCAAATGAACATTGAACATTCTTATGTAGAATATAAAATGGATTCACTACTTACACTGGTTGTGTGGAGCTTCATCTTAAATTTTTCAAAATATAGCCAGTGTTTTGATTCATTAGGATCTAGGTCATGATAGAAATCTCGAGCCGCATAACCAAAACTGTGGAACTTTCTTTCTGGGGTCAAAAGAATAGTTGTTGGTGTCTTCTGATTGGCCACACCAGGATCTCCTCCTTCCCATCGCCTAGAACATAGAGAAAATAATTTAAAACCCATCAAAGTTTACACCTATTCCTATTCAACCTGCGTAATTTAATCCATGCAAACACAGTAGCTTTATGGAATTATTTAAAAAAATCAGTATACAACTGAGGTGGTATTCAGCAGGTTCTGACCAGTTCTGGAGAACCGGTAGCAGAAATTTTGAGTAGTTCAGAGAACCGGTAAATACCACCTCTGACTGGCCCCACCCCCATCTATTCTCTGCGTCCCAAGTCCCAGCTGATTGGGAGGAAATGGGGATTTTGCAGTTTCCTTCCCCTGCCATGCCCACCAAGCCACGCCCACAGAACCGGTAGTAAAAAAATTTGAATCCCACCACTAGTATACAACCTTCTAAGATTGTTCTAAGATGAAAAAACAACAACAACCAACAACCAACAACTTCTGAAATTCAGAAGTTCTGGAGGAAAATCCATCAACAGTTAGGTATAAAGTGTGCCACTTTTCTCACAAAGTGCCCCCAAGCACTAACGGACAATCCACAAGCAGGACCTTACTGTCGTCAGGTCTTACTTGTGGATTCCTATGATGGGTCTGTGTGAGAAGAAAGCAGATGTGTCAATTAAATCCATCAAATTGCCCAAAGCATTGTAAATCCTGTTTCCTCAGATGTTCTACAAACAAAAACATCAAGTACTTTATATAATAGAGCCCTATTTTAAAGAAGTGTCCCCTACGGCCCTTGACTATTAGAGAAAAAAATATAGTTGTTTTGATTTTGAGTAGTTCTTGGTTCAGAGAAGGTTGCTCGCTACTGAGGTGAGCTGGACTGCAGCAGCCAGGTTCTGCCCCAGCATGTAAAACTACATTTAATACAAGAGACTGCATTCAAGAATCAAATAATAAAGAGCATAGATATGAGTATATTTTGTGGGTGACAGTGTTTATTTTTTCTCCTTGCTGCAGCACCCCATTTATTATTAACAATGTCAATAACACAAGTGAGCTAAATCTCTTAGGTTTTTCTGGTGAGGTCATTTGTCAAAAGGGCACACTAACTGGTCACAACCTCTTACTCTTGAGTCAATACATTAGCACTGCACAATTGTCTCCTAGCAATAAAACATCCTTTGTTCTCAGCCCATGAAATTCCCTTCTCAATATGTAATTAGGAGCTCATTATAGAGCAAAGAGAATCCCAATGGCTTGTTTGTGGGGGGGGGGGGATACACAAATTGTAAAAGTCTATTAAATTAACAAATGATAACTGTAGATAATAAAATCCAAATATCTTGAATTAGACTTTAGTGGAGGCACGTGGTAATCTGGGACTTGTGGTAAAAAAAGAAAGAAAGATTAAAATGCATCATTTTGTGCCATTCAGAGTCTGAATTGAGATTGCTGCTTGTGAAGTCCTGCACACCAGCTGTACAATCAAAACAAAGAAAAAAATATTGTTTTGATTGGGAATCCTAATAACTGTAATTTTGACTCATTTTTGATCTTATTTTAACTGCAATAAACCTTTTGAATCCCTTCTCAGTGCTGCTCTGTCAGGCACACAGGGTGCACCCTGTGGCTAAGATTCACAGAGCTATCTTTAGTATGCGAATGAGTTTTTCTATCAAACCCTTCCTCAACTTGGATGGTCCCAATGTTTAAGAATTGCCAATGCACTCTGAGACTCTGCTTCAGACTGTACACATCAGGGCCCAAAATTCAGCTGGCAGAGAATTTCAGCTTTTATTCAATAATAGCAAAACCTGTATTTCTTTTCTTCCTTTAGGATGTAAATGTGAGTAATACTGTGTGAAATGTTACTAAAGGAAAGATCTACAACTTGTGACAGATTCAGGTTGGGATTTCCCTAGTCCTTTCTACCTTCTTATAACTAGAAAAAAAGGAACAGATTCTGACCTAGATTTTGGCTAGTTCAGGCCTCTAATGCACACTGATTGTTAAGAATACAAATCCTGCTCCACCACAAGGACTAATAGCACTAGGCAAGACAAAAGGCCAATGCCCTCCAATGTTTAAATCCTGCATTGACTTGAGATAACTCTTGAAACACGCAATCACAATTGTGCATAATATACATATGTTGGTTGAACCAGAAGCTTTGTATAACCATAAAATTTCCCACCAAGATATAGTTAGGACTATCCAGAGAGGATATAGCTCAGCAGAAAACTGTATGCTTTGCATGCAGACAGTCCCAGGTTCAATCCAAAGCATTTCCAAATAAGACTTAAAATAGTCACTTAGGTCGGGAGTCTCCAACCTTGGCAACTTTAAGCCTGGCGGACTTCAACTCCAAGGTTGGAGACCCCTGACTTAGGTGAAACTAGTCAACTAGTGCTACTTGTTAATCAAGAGTGTTTGTCTACACAAAGCAATAGCCAGCTTCTTATAAGCCTGTTTCCTATAGTCTTAATTTCGTTTTATTTTAAAAGAGTTGTATTTTAAGAAATTCCAGTGGTGGAAAAATAGTCGCATTGCTTATTAACAAAGTATTGTCCATTTACTTCTGCAGACATTTTTATTTTAATACTATCAAAGATAGTATAGTATTATACTATCTTATATACTATCTTATCATACATAAACGATAAGAGAAATTATTGAGACCTGATGAAACAGTGGTCCCTATTTACTCATCCAGCTTGTCACATTTTTTGCCTGGCCCATCCTAGTTATCACTATCTCTGCAACTCTGCCCTAAGCCAATTCTCCCATATTACATCTCTACTCTGCATCAAGGAACCTTGGCAACGCCTCCAGTCTTTTTATTATGCATTTCGAGCACTATAAATAAAGTCTTCCCTGTCACTCTTCTCTGTTAAGCACTTTGATGTTAACAGGGAAAGGTTAAAAAGCAGGAGTCAAGACTCGGCTTAATTGCATTGTTCTTAGGATGGTTTGATGAAGTCAAGGACAATATCAGTAGCATGGTAGTATATGCTAGGAGTCACTTAATTGTGTTTTTAAGCTACTTTGCTTCAGTGAGAAAAAACACCTTACACAGCCTTAGTAAGATCGCACTTGGAATACTGCATCCAATTCTGGTTATCACAATATAAAAAAGATATTGAGACTCTGGAAAGAATGCAGAGAAGAGTAACAAGAATGATTAGGGGGCTGGAGGCTAAAACATACAAAGAATGGTTACAGGAATTGGGTATGTCTAATCTAAAGAAAAAAAAGAGACCAGGGGAGATATGATAGCAGTGTTTCAATATTTGAGGGGCTCCCACAAAGACAGACAAACTATTTTCCAAAGCACCAAAAGGCAAGATGAGAAACAATAGATGGAAACTAACCAAGAAGAGAAGCAACCCTAGAACTAAGGAGAAATTTCCTAACGGTGAGAACAATCAACCAATGGAACAACTTGCCTTCAGAAGTTGTAGATGCACCAACACTAGAGGCTTTCAAAAAGAGACTGGACAATCATTTGTCTGAAATGCTATAGAGTCTCCTGCTTGAGCAGAGGGTTGGAGTAGAATACTTCCAAGGCCCCTTCCAACTCTATTATTTTATGAGAAAGTTAAAAATGTGTACAAGTACTATACTAAAATAAAAAGTTAATATGTTGGAGGAGATTATACCCTTTTTATGACAAAATACAATGAATCAATAATTTAATAATACAATCACTCACCCCAGTTCTTATATACATACTCTATTCAATCCTAACCCTATACTGATAGAAGTTATTTTCAAAAATGAATGAAGTATCCTCAACTTAACCTGTACAGATTTATCATCCCAAAGACAGACCCATTTTTGTGTGTTTCAACTCCTTGACCGGTGAAATGCTACCAGTTCGGGATGGTTCTCCCAAACCGGTAGTGAAAATGCTATTGGTTCACCTGAACCCATAGTAAAAAAATGCTTTAAAAAGTAAAAAAATGTTCCGACGATCGCAAGGCACAGCTGATAGTCTGAACTCTTTAAAAAAAACCTTTTTAAAGCATTTTTTTACTACCTGTTCAGGGAATAGGTAGTAAAAAATGCTTTAAAAAAGTTTTAAAAAAAGGTTCTGACAATCAGCTGTGCCGCACGATCATCAGAATTTTTTTTTTACTTTTTAAATTTCTTTACTACTTATTGGGGGGGGGGTTTGTTTTTGCTCCCAGGAGGCTTTCCTGAGGCCTGCTAGGCCAAAAACAGGGGGTGGGTGGGGTGCTGCGGAAGGAAGGAAGGAAGGAAGGAAGGAAGGAAGGAAGGAAGGAAGGAAGGAAGGAAAAGAGAAAGAAAGAAAAAGAGAGGGAGGGAAAAAGGGGAGGAAGGAAGGACCACAAACTTTGCACTAGATGCAGCTTCCGAGGATACCTTGAAAGAGCACAGCAATCCAGGGCTGGAAGGGACCTCGAGGTCATCTAGTCCACCCCTTGTTCCAGCAGGATATTGTTAAAGTGAGTTTCTGTCTTTTGACACCCCCCAGTCACATGACTACATAGCTATGCCCACCAAGCTACATCCACAGAACAGGTAGGGAAAAAAATTAGATTTCACCACTGCCTTGACCTCAGTGTTTGTCATCTCTGATACAGAGTCACAAACAACTAGAAGCCTCTGTGAAGGAGTTAAGAAGGAGCAGTTTCTCTACATTAAAAGCAAGAGGATTTTATACCATAAAGAAGCTACTTCATTTCCATGTTAGCCTAACAACTGAACAAAAAGCACGACAAAGCATGAGCTTCAAGTAAGGGCATTTTAATTTTCCTTCCTTTGCTGCTTCCCTCCCCTTTTCACCTGCAGGTTTAAAGCTGGAGGGAAGAATAAGATTTTTCTATGATTATCTGTATTCCAGGTAATAACAGAAATTGCAATCAGGTTGTGACACTTGCATTCACAACTGCTGTTGTGGCAGAATGGCTGGCAACTCCTTGGAGCTGTATTTGTTTTTCTTTTGGAGAGGAACTATAAGAAATGTTTTACATTTTATAGAACAGGATAGCAGAGGAGACTGACTTACTGACCCTTCCAGCTCTGAGATTTTGCTTGGACTAACAATTTTGCAATCACAACCTACCAGAAGCTTCACACTCAATTACACATCTCCCAATCCACTCCATTGATTTCTCTATGGCTATGTTAACAATAGTGACAAGAAAGTAATTTTGTCCTGTTTACATTTTATTGAAAACTAATAGTAGAAAAGGATCAGTGCAAAGCAAGTAAGAAAACTCTGGAAGGGTGAGGGGTAATGAAAAAGAATAAGATAGAACTAACATTTTTTTTTATTTTAATGTAAACATCCTCAAATATAATGTAGCTAGAAATGACATTTCCTGTAATAAATATCTTCCAAAGTACACTGATTACATAAATATTGACTTTACAATTCTATCTACATTACGCACAGTTTAATAAACATAAGCCATACTTACCGTAACTGCCATACTTTTTTATTCCTTTTATTTATTTATTTTAAAAAAGCTTTCTAGATACAATTCTGAAAAAGAAGAACTCGCAAGAACCACTGTTGGGATTTCTTATGTTCATTTTTATGAACTTTTTGAACATATAGTTTGGCTAAATACTACTTGATAGTATTTCACACTGATCCCGTTTTCACTTTTGAACTAATGTTCAGATTTGATTCAGTATTCACAATTCAAAACTTTTGTATATATTTTTCATTTCAGATTAATGGAAAATTGCAAATCACAGGGGAAAAGCCATTCTTAAGTTTTTTTTTTTTTTTTTTTTTTTTTTTTTTTTAGAAAAAGGAAATACATTGCAGTACAGTATTGGCCATTCCATTTCTAACTATAGAAGTCTGAAATCTGGTTTGCAGGAAAATTCTCATTTCTAAAAACCTTTGAACATTTCTATATAACTAAAAATACTTTTATTTCCTACTAGCTGGATCCCCGTGCTTCGCTACGAAACTATGTGATCGGGCTTGATAAATCGACACTTACAGCTTGAATCCTCCCCTATCCTACCCCCTTCTCTCCCTCAGCCTTGCCCCACAGAAATGTCTCCTATCCTATCCTCTTCTCTCCCTCAGGCTTTCTAACCCCTTCTCTCCATGAGACTTGCCCCACCTCCCCCCCCCAAGCCTGTCCTATCCTATCCCATTTTCTCCAGAGTTATTTTCAAGTTGGGAGGGGGAGTAGAACATCTAATTAGTATCAGAGCGTGCTATAATAATATAGAAAATACTAATGCTCTGATGGTCATTTCGAAAAATCCTTTCTTAGTGAACACCTAGAAGCCAAGAGGAACATACATGGCAAATTTCAAGTTTGTAGGCTTTACAGTTCTGGAGATTTCGTGATTAATGCGTGAGTGGTTGTATATAGATTATTTTATGAAATACTGGTGCTCTTGAGATAATCGCTTATTTCCATATTTCTGATGCTTCTGGTTGAAATGCATCATCAGACATGTCTGGAGATAAGCAGAAGGAAGTTTCGTGCTGTCACCGTAAAAGAAGTCCTGCCTCACCAAAACGTTGTACATCAAGGACTTCTCACACTGGATCAAGTGACCCAGCCCTGATCTAGAAATCAGACCACCCAACCCTTGGGAAGGACACAGGCTCAGGGTACAGTATCAGAAGACTTAACTTAAGGCTGGTCACTGAGCATCCATTAAAATTTTTGACAGACCCGCAAGAAGGATTAATGTAAGTTTTTCTTGAAAGTTTTTGAATGCCCAACCTCCCCGGAGTTGAGGGCACTGTATTGCAGGGATTCTACTCCTACTTGTAAAGAGGGTATCTGGGGCTTAGGAGCTGTGACGTGGGTTACAACATACATTTTTGTTTCCAATAGTGATTAACATGTAATATCATTGCTTGGGTCGTTCAGTAGTTTGGGGGGATAGGTATAATCTATATACTAATGACACTCAATTCTGCTCTATAGAAGATCAGAATAGGCTGTGTGTCTTTTGATGCAAAGACAGGATGTGTAAGGGCCAATACACTGAAATGGAATCCTCACATATCAGAGATTCTGTGATAGGTTTCTTCCTAAATATAGGAATTGGGAAGTCTGCCTGCCTCCATTGGGTTACACTCACTCAGAAATAATAATTTAGTGTGGCTTTTAGATATTTCCACATTAATTTAGGCAGATAAAATCAAAAGGTATCCCTATCTATAGTTAAAATAAGCACTAATCAAACCAGCAATTTTACCACAGAATAACTCTTTATATTTCACTTTGTCCATTACATGTTGATTAAGTTAATAGCACTTATAGCAATAAGACTTATATATCGCTTCACAGTGCTTTACAGCAGTGGTGAAATCCAATTTTTTTACTACCAGTTCTGTGGGTGTGGCTTGGTGGGCATGGCGTGGCTTGGTGGGCATGGCAGGGGAAGGATACTGCAAAATCTCCATTCCCTTCCCACTCCCAGGAGAAGGATATTGGAAAATCTCCATTCCCACCCCACTCTGGGGCCAGCCAGAGGTGGTATTTACCAGGTTCTCCGAACTACTCAAAATTTCCGCTACTGGTTCTCCAGAACCTGTCAGAACCTGCTGGATTTCACTCCTGCTTTACAACCCTCTCTAAGCAGTTTACAGAGTCAGCATATTGCCCCCAACAATTTGGGTCCTCATTTTACCCACCTCAGAAGGATGAAGGCTGAGTCAACCTTGAGCCTGGTGAGATTTGAACTGTCAAATTGCAGGCAGCCGGCAGGCAGCAGAAGTAGCCTGCAGTACTGCACTCTTAACCACTGCACCACCGAATTTCTCGAGTCCCCTTAATTAAAAAATCTACTAATCATATAGTTCCAAGCACCAAGGCCAGGATACGGATCCTCACCTCATTACATGAATACATTCGGGTTCCTTGGCGAAGCTGTAAGCATAACCACTGGAAGTTGTGCCAAAGTCAATAGCCACCACAACAAGAAATGTCTGCTCCTCGGCATGATTTGCATCTGAGTCCTTCTGTCCAAGGTACAGAAACGGGATGGTTCAAGAACGAATTGTAGACAATATTGGCTCTATTTGATTCTCCTTTGATACAGTTCAGGAGCTGAAGACTGAAATTATTTGCCAACAAAGCTGACCTTTTAAACAATAATATTGTAATGTTTTTGAAATAATGATGTGCCATCAAATCATCTTTGACTCCTAGCAACCACATAGATGTACATGATGGTGATAATGATGATTTGGTCATAACTAGGGATTTTAAGAACTGAAATCCAATACATTTATAAAATATTAGGTTGGAGAAAGCTAATACAGGTAGCCCTCAATTTACTATCACAATCGAGCCCAAAATTTCTGTTGTAAAGTGAAACATTAAGTGAATTTTGCCATTTTATGACCTTTCTTGCCACCGTTGTTAAGCGAATCACTGCAGTTGTTACATTAGTAACGTGGCTGTTAGTGAATCTGGCTTCCCCATTGACATTGACATTGTTTGTCAGAAGGTTGCAGACAGTGATCACATGACCCCCCCAGGACACTGCAACTGTCATAAATATGAGTCAGCCAAGCATCTGAATGTTCATTACGTGACCACGAGGATGCCACAATGGGTCGTTAAGTATGAACTATGGTCCTAGGTCGCATTTTTCACTGCCATTGCAACTTTGAACGGTCACTAAATGAACTGTTGCAAGTCGAGGACTACCTGTATAGATGAAAAATCTTACCGCAATGTGAGAAGGAGACAATGGTGTGATTCCTGGATCTCCTAAACTTCTTGCTGGAGATGCATAGGCAGATGTTGAAACTGCATCTGAAAGAAAATGGGGGCGTTTGAATGAACTCTGTATCTTTCAAAGAGGAAGGACGGGCATCCAAAAGGGCATTCATTCACACTGTCAAGTTGGTTCAGAGCCAGAGAATAACCAAAGCAATGCACATAACAATCTTCTGCATTACTGATTTCAGTCATTAATGCCACGGTCATTTAAAATTTAAATGCCATTCTTCTAACCATGAATAAACTGCACTATTCATTTTGACTAAGCCCCTAAGGGTAGATACGGTATGGGAGTCCATTCCATCTTCTTTTCTTCAGGAGTTTGGGTTAAATTCCAAGATGCTCGGGATCTTATGACTATTTAATTATCTGCAGAAATAAAGGTTGTTAATATTGGCTAATGCGGCAACATAAAATATGAATAAAACAAATCAAATAGAATATAAAAAGATGAAGAACAAATGGATTGCCCTGCTGGCTCAAAGGGCAGGAAGCATATGCCAATGATTCAGACCATGTCAGGCAACTGTCAACAGAGGATGCAACTCTTCCTTTAGGCTTCCAATTGTGCATCTTGACTAAGATAGGAATTAGGAGAAATATCTTGTTCCATAATTGCTATTATGCTAGAAACAATGGTGCCCATTTTTTCTTAAGCTTACAAGCATTTGCTTTTATTTAGTGAGAGCATGAGCTGAGAAATCAAAATATATTTCTTGTGTCACTATTATTTTCTAGGGGTATAGAGATTGGCTCTGATGATCCAACAGAAAATTAATTCAATTTTCCACTGTTTCACAGGCACCTAATAACATTCAACAATTCAATTTTCTGATTTCAGCTTGGAGATGTGATTTAATTCCAATATTTGATTGTATCCCCTTCAAACTAAGTCTCCAAATAAAGTTTTACGCATTTGCATTATTTTCACTTGAAAAAGAAGAAACTGATTTGAGCTTGTTGGAATAGAATGTATTCTATGTTAGTTCATTCTAGCAAATATAGCAAGTTTCCTCTGAGTTTCCATGGTTACCACAATGAATCACACATCCTATAATCACAACAAGTGGGGTGAGGGGCTATTTAGTGAAATGCCATGTAAAGTAGTTGCATTCAAGAAATAAGCTTGCATAACAGCGATTATGCATCTGGTTTGGTTTCTAGGTATCGGCCATCTGTATAGCAAAATATGAAACCAAATTAAGTTGGTTCACTTAAAAGTTTTTTGAAATGCCACGAAGACAAAAACACATTTTTCCTTTGCATAACAGCTCTTGGCTTCTATTTATTTTACAACATTTTTCATTTAAAAAGCTTTACAGTGCTTCTCTTGTTGCTCTTTAATGACTTAGTACTTCAGTGTGAGTTAGATATGCATGTTTCTCCAGATTCTTTCAACTGAAGTGAACAAAACTTTCTCAACTTTCACTGACTTCAGTGAAACCTTTTGTAGTAAGAGTTTTTATAATGACAGTTCAAAACCAAAATGCTCTATTTAAAAAAAGGTAAAGTAGTCCCTGTGGATTTTATTCCGTTAGTCATTGCCAATTATAGGAGGCAGTGCTCACCTCTATTTCAAGGTCATTGAGCCAGTGCTGTCCAAAGACATTTCCACAGTCATGTGGCCAGAATGATGTCACAAAGCGCTGTTACCTACTCACCGAAGTGGTACTTATTTAACTACTCGCATTTGCATGCTTTCAAACTGCTAGGTCGGCAGGAATTGACGTGAGGACAGGAGTTAATCCTGTCGCATGTCACTCAGGTTTCAAACCTGGGCTGCCGACTTTCCAGCCAACAAGCCTAGCATCTTAACCACTGAGCCACCACACTGCCAAAAATGGTCTATACACAAAGAAAAACACTGAACAAACTGGAATAATTCTGGTTCATGTAGCAATAATGTATTGGTTCTCGTTATTGATACCAAGAGTGGATTTTATTTCCTGCATGGATAAAGATTACGGAAATTATTCAACCACAGGTGAAAGTTTAAATCTCTTCAAGATATACAATATGGTCCCACTGTAGATTGAGATACACTGTATAGGCACACCCATGCACACATGCATACACAAGCACATAGTCTGTTTCAGGGGTGAAATGCTCCCGGTTCGGACTGGATCACCTGATCTGGTAGCGATGGTGGCGGGTGGTTTGGAGAACCGGTAGCAAAAATCCCTGCCCCCCCCGCCCAGCTGAGCCGCGTGATCATCAGAGGCTTTTTTTTTTACTTTTAAAAGCATTTTTTCTACAACCTCTTCAGGTTGTAGAAAAAATGCTTTTAAAAGGTTAAAAAAAAGCCTCTGATGATCCCAGCTGAGCAACGCAATCGTCAGAGGTTTTTTTTTTTTTACTTTTAAAAGCAATGCTTTTAAAAGTAAAAAAAAGATTGCATGCCACAGCTGATTACCCCCCCCCTCGCGTGCTGTTCTACTTACCATATGCTTCTTTTGGCGTGCACTGCACGCATGCATCTTGCATTTGGTGCATGGTGTGCACTGTGCATGCGCAGCCAGTGAACCGGTAGTAAACCGGTTCAGATTTCACCACTGGCCTGTTTGGTGTGGTGGTTAAGGCATCAGGCTAGAAAACTAGGGGACCATGAATTCTAGCCCTGCCTTAGGCACAAATCTATCTGAGTGACCTTGGACTAGTCACTTCCTTTCAGCCCTAGGAAGGAGGCAATGGCAAACCACTTCTGAAAAACCTTGCCAAAAATACTGTAGAGTATATCCAGCCAGTTTCTTAAAATTGGACACAACTGAACAGAAGAATTAATATTCTATCATGAATCGTATATAAAAAACAATAATAATGCCAGGATATAAAATAAATAAATGCTAGCAAGTATTGTTTTCATGATAACTGATAATTCTTTAGATGTTGATTGACTGAAGCTTAGGTGGTTGTGTTGCACTGTTTCACTAAGAAACAAAACATTTGTAGCTTGTTCTTGTACATGTCTCCCCAAAAGTAAGTTTTATAGATACTCCATATATACGCCTTACATATTATTACTTGAATATAGTTTTAAAAAATCTAGCTCCTATGCACATAGTAGAGATAACAGGTTCCCTCTTGCAAAGTTCATACATTGTAGTAAATGATATGCTTGCTTGTAATTAGCTACAATGTATGAAACTGAATATGCCAATTAAGATTTACTCAACAAGCCATGGCTAAAGCCATGATTTAGCACAATATATGAATACCACTTCCAAGACACCTATGAGATTATACCCAGTGAACTGAAAAAGATAATTTAAATGTTGTGACTAGAATATCCTGATTGAATGCTCTGCCCCCATAATAACAACAGTAAAGTCCAATTAATGTCTGTTAGCTTCCAGGTCAATTATCTATCCTCTTTACAATCTTCTTGTTTCTTAAAGATAACTTAAATTGGCTGATACAACCCATAGGTTTTTTCCCCCACTGTTATATGGACAATGATAATGCACTTTCATTTTGAGATTTTATAGGCTGTTGCGGCTTTAAAATGTTCTTAGCTTTTCATCTTACCTTTCCTCCAAATATTACAGCAATACATCTATTCTTGAAACTACTGCATCGTGGACAATGATGAAAGATATTTGTCTGCAACTGTTTCTTAATATAGGAAAATGCATCTGGTATTTGAGAAACTTAACACTATGAGCACCAAACACAATATTATTTTATCCAGGCTAAAGACACACGATCACAAACTCAGATTTAAGGATGTCCACATAACAAGCTACATCTGAGTTGTCAGGGGGGAAAAACCAACATGAAAAATTTAAAGACACACCCTAATGCATATTTTCCTGTGAGTAGCCACCACTGACCACTACAAGACTTTCTTCAGAGAAGACACATCTTGGAAGAAATTGCAAGTGTTTTGTTTCTTAATGAAACAGAGTTAACACCATCACCTAATTTTTAGTAAGTCAAGTACTAAAAAAATGTAAGTATAAAAAAAAATAAAGTTACTTAGGTCAGAGGTCTCCAACTTTGGCAATTTTAAGCCTGGCGGACTTCAACTCCCAGAAAGCTGGCTGGGGAATTCTGGGAGTTGAAGTCTGCCAGGCTTAAAGTTGCCAAGATTGGAGACTCCTGACTTAGATCATGACCAGGGTTCCACAGAGACTCAAGGTCAAGAACTTCCATCACAGAAATTATGTCAATTTTGGCAACAGTAGGAACAGGGGTAGAATGAACAGCACGGATTTGGGGAAGTTGCTGATCATTGGGCACATCCAGACCTTCTAAAAGGTTGCTATACTTCTATGTGATCCCCCTGCAAAGCATCTTCTAAGTTGCTTCACGAAGCAATATAGCCTTCCTTCTTCTTAAAGTCAATGATGCCACATAGTTATATCTTACATTGCTAAAAGATTCCTGTTCATAAAACTAATGTTTATGACTAAGCTGCATATCACAAATCTGCAGGCACCTCTTTTGCCTACTAGAACCATCAGGTGAGACAACATAAACCTCATAAGGGAAAACTGCATTGCTGCCTCACCCTTTGAGCATAAGGAATCTTCTTAACATAAAGCACATCTACTTCTTCAAACCTGTTAATCATTTGCTCATCAAATGTATATGATTATGGAGCCCAAAGGGCATCCAGCTGCAAGCTCTGCCCTTTTGGGCTCTACATATGTTGCAAAATGGGAGGGGCATGCAGTGCTATGATGTTATATACCAGTTCTATGTCGCTTCTGTCCCCTTTGCCCCACCCCATGGGCGCCAGTGGAGCCCCCACCTCTTCTGTCCCTGTTCTGGGTTAAGTCTGAAGCAACTTTATGAGATTTTGACAAATGTTTTAATTTCACATGTTAATAAAGAACTAGCCAAGATTAAGCATCAGGTTTCTTTAATATTCTCGTGATCAAAGACTTGCATGTCAGCAGTTTTAGCTGGGATCAACTGTATATTGTTTCCAGAACAGATAGGTGGGCAAACAACAGGCAGCCTTGGCAATTTAAGTTATGCCTGAGTCAAAACAAAAACTCTTTCCAAAGCAGCTTGAAGTTAATTGGATCTGAAGATTTGGGAGTAGCCTATCCTATAGAATCAAAGGATGCAGACCATAGTCAGCCTTGTTTATTTAAAATGATTTCAAATTCCACCTCATCCTAAATTATGTATAAAAGAAAAGGTTAGGGCAGGGGTGTCAAACTTGCATTGTCACGGTGGTGTCACATGTCATATCACAACTTTTCCCCTTTCGCTAAACTGGGCGTGGCCACCGCGTGATGCATCTAGCCTGTGGGCCACGAATTTGACAGCCCTGGTTAGGGGAAGAGGAGATTTTTTTAATGATTTATTTTTAATCATGAGACTGAAGAACTTGCAAAGGACTTTGACTGTTCTCATTGTGATTGGGCAGGCTCAAAACAGGCAACTATGTTTCTAGAATTCCATTTTATTTTCTCTTACATGTTCATTGAATGTAAGTCCATTTACTTACAGTATAGGATATGTAAGCTGTTCAAAATTTCAGCATTTTTGAAGTGGAGCTCTGCTTCAGGTACAAACCCAAGCATATTTACACAGAGCTACTATGAGTGTTCTGCATGAAGGTTATTAATCACATAAATTAATTGTATTTCTACAATTATAAGTTGTAATTAATAAATTGTATAAATAACGTAACTAATCAAAGCCATAAAATGTAAGTCGGGCTAAATCTTATATTTGCTACACCTAATCAAAATCCCTATTATTCCTAGGAGAAAGGGATTCCCTTCAGCATTCCAAGAATAATTTCACCGTATCTTTAGACTTGATAAGCACAGTAGCAAAAAAAAACCATCTGGGATTCTGGCTATCAGCGTTTACTTCAACTGAAGTAAAAGCATGAACTAGAGCAAGGGTGTCAAACTCGCATCGTCATGGCGGCATCACGTGACATATTGGGACTTCCCTTCACTTAAACCAGGCGGGGGCGGGGCCAGCAGGTGACGCATCCAGCCCCCGGGCTACCAGTTTGACACTCCTGAACTAGAGCAAAGGTGCAACCCTTTCTTAGTTCTAATGGAAACCAGGCCTTTCTCACTCCCAGGAAGTTTCTAATACTTTGTAGTAAAAGTGAGTAGTCACTAAGAACTTGACTATCTTTAATTAAGCACAGCTGGTGTAATTCCTCTCATATGTCATAATCTCTGCTTGGTCCTATTGCATACAACCATTATATAGCAAGGGTTAAGATTTTGAGGATCTTACAAATGAGCCCTGCCTTAAAATTAAAAAAAATATCAAAACCACCAGTTTTGTTTGTTTGGCATAAAAAAAATTTTTTTATTGCTGAACACTGCTACCCATGAGGCCAGCTGCAGCTGGAATAGATACTTCCCAGCTGCTCAAAGACCACCTACAAGTCTTATGTGTCCCTAGAATTATCACACCACTTTTTAATAACACTATAACAGATTCTCCCTAATAGCTTATCATGATCATCATCATCCCTTACAGCTGCCCCACCATGCATAGGTCACTATTCAACCTAACGCAGTGGGAGCTGATGGTAGTAACCTTCCCCAACGCCACACCCTTCAGATGTGAGACTGTAAATCCCTGTTGGCTAGGAAGGCAGAAGGGGTGGTCCAACTCATGGAGGCTGGATGTTTCAGGGATCAGTTCCGCTGTCTATAAAGGCTTCTGCTGAAAAGGCTGCAGTGCTGAGGGCCTGGACCCATCACCATAATTAATGGCCGATTTTTGCTGCAACATCTTGATGCTCTCATCTCAAGCAGGTTTGCCTTTGTAACAAATTTTACTGCCACAGATGTCATTGTAGTAATACTACATAATGTTTGTGGAATCCAATATGGTATTTTACATATTAAAAATCTGCATTGTTCACACTGACACAGATGTCACAATCTCTTCATAGAGCAAATTAGGAATACAACTTATGTATCTAAGTGCTACGGGTTATGTATCTAAATACTTGGGATTTATTTTAACATCGATTTATGCCAGTTGCCTACTTATGTAAAATATACAACGTTCATTATATGACAACTAAAGGAATTTGCTTTTCAATTTTTTCATTTTTTTCAAATTCTATCTCTATCATACTTTAAATATTTACCACCAAAAGGAGATTTTAAAGTCCTTATTTAGGGGGGGAAGCCATTGTTCATTTTTTTAAAAAAATGGAGAGGCTATTGTACAATATACGCTCACAGTGCTAGTGTGTAAAATGCAACAATTTAAAGTATTTTCTTCACTTTTCTTCTAATATTTTTTCCCTTCTTTCTTGTCTCTGATTCAGATACCCTATATGTAATGCACCATTCAGTTGCAGACCTCAAGAAAAGAAGTTCTTAAATTATATGTTATCTCCTTCTATTATCAACCCCATGTAGATCTCGCCTACACTGACAGTAGGATTCAATTTTGCATGTCATTCCCAACGTGAAGGAAATTGCACAGCTAAGCTGTTAGTCTTTTCACAGTTCTGAAGAACTGGCATATTTTAGTAGCCAATGTGACAAGCAACATGGGGACAGCCACACCCATGGCTGACTTGCACTTCCCAGAGCAAGTACTACAGAAAGTGATCCAGGAAATCCAACCCCCTCCCATTCTGCATACACAAGTAACTGTTGAGTAGGGTCAAGTTTGTCTTATTTCCTGAATGTTTTTTTTTCTTCAAACTATTCCTATCTGATGGAGAGAGGAGAGATGAACTACCCTAATTTGCACCTGTCCTGTAACTACTCTATTAAGGGCCACAAAAATAAAAGTTGAAAGCAGCAGGAACCCAAGCTGCAATACTCCCTTTAAAAACTGCAGAGCTCAGAAAATACTGCCAAGGTGTCCTATGCGACACGTTATTTTGACCAATCACAACTATGAAAGCAGGGAAGAGGGTCAGAAAGTACTGGCAATAGTTTGGATTCCACTCTCATAACCCCCTCTCCGAAATTTAAAGAATTGGAGTTTTCTGTTTGCTACTATTGTTTTAAAAAAAAATAGTGACAAGCATCTCCATTGTGATTTTAAAAGGGGACTTTTACTTCTCGGTCTCCTCTCTCTCACCTCCTATTCGTGGTTACCTCTGCTACTCTCCTTATAGTTTAAATGCCCTTGCTGGGAGGGAGAGGGGGGACACGCCTCCTCGGCCGGCCTCTGCTGTCACCGGTTCCGGGAAGAGCTGCATTGGCCCACCGTGGCCACCGCGATCCGCACCCCGCCCAGCCGCAGAGCAGATGCAGAGGCCGGGAACACCCGCGGCTCAGCCTCGCTGGAGAGACGCGCCACCGCGCGGAGGGAGGGAGGAGGGGGCGGCAGCTCGAATTCCTCCGCATTGTTTTTCCACCTGGATCCTATCGCCAGCCATTTCACCTCCCGATCTGCTGCTGCAATCGCCTTCCCGGCCTTCGGGGACCGCGTGACGGCTGGGCACCAGCCTCAGTCGAAAGAGACGATTGCTTCGGCATCAACTCCTGGCCCGAAGCTCGCCAACAACGAGGAATGGGGACGCAACGCCAGGCGCTTTAAAAAAAGGGGGGGGTCCCACGCCTGGACATCCCCTAGATTGGCTCTATTACAAATTCTGCGCACCCCGCAATTAAAGAGGGGGGTGCCCCACCACGCGTAGAGCCAAACCCTGGAAATCTTAATCAGGTCTGCCGATAAGTGGAACCTCCTTTCCCTTCCTTATTAGCTCCCCAAGATGCTTCTAGCACAAATATTTCTCCGCTCGGGGGCAAAGTTTACCTCAGGAAAAAGGACTAAACCTCATGGCCTCCCTTTGTCCCAAACCAGCAGTCTCTCTCCACACACCCACACCCACGCTTATCAACTGTGTTTTACACGCGGGGGCTGCTCAGGTCGTCTCATTTCGCTCCGATGCCCGCACAATATATTTCAGGTCCCACATCTAGCGACCGCATTCGCAAATGAGCATTATTAAGTGCAGGGTTTTTGGGTTTGTTTGTTTTTTTGTTTTTTTTTTTTTTTTTTTGCGGCTTGGCGCCTTCTGTAAATTCGGCCCGTTGGGTTCTGCTTCAAGCGTATTGCGCAAACCGCCCCAAAATGTAGAAATCGGACCCAAACGTTTTGCGTGCGCTCAGCCCGTGCGTGGACAGAAGCCGGTGCACGTGAGCGCTCTGCGCTGCCAACCGCGCGAGTTAAGACCGTTAGTATCTTTTTCAGCCCAGGTAGAGGGCATCTCTTTATAACTGGCGTTTTTGCAGAAATGATACTGACGCCAAGTATGGTTTTCCACGCGGGCTTTCCTTTCTATTCGATAGTCACCTTGCAAGATTACCCGCCGCTAGTATGCGCGATGAGGGTTTGTAGCATGAGAGTGGAGGGCTTTCCTTCCGAGGCTCGTGACAGCCTGCAAGGCATAACCCGCCAGCCGAGAGGCTCCTGCCCCAGCTCCACCCCACAAGCCCGGATCCCTTGCCTATCCCTCTCCAAGGAATCTTCTGCATTGCTTCGCGAGGCGGTTTTTGCTGCTGGCAAAGCCTCCCTCCAACCCATGCAACGTCGTCCCCCCACCGTCCCTGTCCGCCGCAGGACCCTTCAAACCCATTACCTGCTGCGATGCCTTCGGTCCCCGCCATGTCTGAAGGCGTCTACTGCGCCCTCCGCTCTCTACTTCAATTACGCGAGGCGAGATCAGCAGGGAAGGAGGGAGGGGAGCAAACCCACGAGCGCGCCTCTCACTCAGCAGTCTGAGCCATTGGGCAGGAGCCGGTTCTGCTGCAATCGCTTCCTTTCCAGATCTGCTGATGAGGAGCCCAGACAAGCCCCCTTGCCCACCCCCTGCCGCCCCGATCCGCTTTTCCGTCTCTTCTCCACCCACGCCTGGCGTGCAAAACAGCCGAAGGGAAAGGTTAGCGTTTGACCCCGCTGCTAGCGAGCTTCTCTCTCTCTCTCTCCCCCCACCCCCCTGCTGCAAGGCTCTGGATGCTGAAAGTTCTGCAGCGCCCCTCCCCTTTTGAAGCCAGCGACTGGCCTGCCTCCCACCCCCTTTCACTCAGCCTGGGAGGGAATCGAAGACGCCTTTGACAAAGGAGGGTTTTGGCAAGGAGCCTTGCAAGGAATAGTATGGACGTTAGGATCAGCAGACCACGTCGCCTTATTTGACATTTCCTTTCGAGATGGTGCTTTAATGCATAGCTGCATAAAATAACAGTCCGAATTTACATACTGGCGTTGGATCTCTTCCCTTAAGAGAACACAGAAAAACACTCAAGCCATAAATAAACCAGCTCCTAGGGCCCTTTCTGAAGATCACCCAAGATGTTGCAAATGGATTTGAGCCACTGCAGAAGACTTAGTCCCAAGAGAGGCACGGTGACAATTTTTATGAGATAGAGTGACCTTGGGGTATTGGGGGGAAGGCACAGCCACATAGGCTTTGGTTACTCTTAATGCACCAATGTGCTAATGGCTGTATATTTACCAGCTCCAAGGAACTACAGTGTTGGGCAAATTAAAACCAAATAGTAAAACCTGATACTTATTAATTGCATTGCAAATATTTGGGCATCCAGCAGAGCAAACCATAAGAGCAAATTTCTAATTTTGCTCTGAATGCTTTAAAAGCTAATATCCCTCCTGGTGAACACATCATGATTGCACAATGGCACATCAATATTTTCCCTCCTTTTACTTCGAGTATATTAATAATATAGTAGAAAATCCAAATTTATTGTTTAAAAAATATTAAAAATAGATATGGATATAGCATATTTCACAATGTCCTTTAAAGAAATGTATTGAATAAATACCATCCCAGCTCCAAAAATGTCGAGGAACCCCTGTCTTCTCCATAGCTTGCTGATTCAGAGAGAAACAAGAAGGTATCAGAAAGAGGGGGAAAAGTGTGGCTCAGTGTGTCACAGGAAAAAGTCCTGAGAAAAAGTAAGTATTTGTGCCTTCAAGTCAGTTTTCGACTCCTGGCAACTTCCTGGAAAAGTGCCTGCAGTTTTCTTGGCAAGGTGTTTGAGAAGTGATTGGCCAATGCCTCCTTCCTAGGGCTGAGAGAACAATGACTGCCCCAAGGTCACCCAGCTAGCTTTGAACCCAGTGAGACTAGAACTCAAGAGTCTCCCAGTTCCAGCCTGATGCTTTAACCACTACACCAGTGTCTCTAATACCTGCATCCACTTTTATTCTGGCCCAACCAACTATTCACATTTGAGGTGGGGAAACTATGTGGGTTCTGCCTTTCTACACTTTTCTCTGCTTCCTCTACATTTTTAACATGTCATAAATAAAATAAAATCAGCTTCGTTTGATCTGGGTAATTTCTTCCTCCCAACTTAGAGGTTGATTCAAATTCACCATTACTTGATTCTCTTCTAATCAGTGTGCACACCTGCAATTGTACACCTGCATCCTGCAAATTACTCTTCAGTAGGACACAAAGTGCCCAATCTTGATATATATTAATAGAAGTCTTATGTTCTGACCTATGACTGCTGTAGGGCAAAATGAAATGCAGGAAAGAAGGATAAGTATATTTAGAAATATTACAGCTTAAAGAAATAGGAAAAAAATGTCTGTTCAATTCAAAGCCATCTGACTTCAAAAAGAGTCTGTGAGGCTTACAGTTTTTAAAAGAATACATACTTTTTTAAAAAAAAAAAGGAACATGACCATCCAGACAAATCTGTATCATATTCTCAATAAATCATTGGGAGCTCCACAAAGTAGAACACAACCTGGTCTTCAGAGACATGCCAACCCATTTGAAGGGTGGGAGCCATAGATATTCTTAGAGGAAAGCTATTGCAGCAGAAAGGTGCCATGACAGAGAAGATGCATTTTCTTGGTTCTGCAGAATGAAAACATCTCACTGAAGGGACAAGCAAACATTACTGGATACCTTTGAATTTGTCTCTGTTGTAATTGAAATGCCTCAAATGTCAACTATTTTATCCATAAGAATGTGATGAAAGTTTTATTGTGGACCACTGAAGTTTCTAAATTGTAATCAGAAGTTGGAAAAACTTGAATAACTATTATCACACAGAATAATTTTATTAGATTAATATCTGGATCCCCATAACAAGCTTTCAAATGAATTGTCCCACTTCCCCATAGCTTCTTCATCCACTGTGCAAAGGATGCTCACCTTAGAGTCCATACATCTTCCAGCATATTAGTTGCACACAATTGAATTCTACATTGATAAATGTTTATGTTCACATTGTGATCAATACTGCAAATTCAGTTGGCTGGTTTGATATAGAACATACTGTACTTTCATGAAATGTAAGTATGAATTCTGACACTAGTTTTTCTTCCTCTCACCTATAATCAAACCACCGAATAACTGCAGCGCAAATACTTTTTTTTTTTTTAATTTGATTTATATGCCGCCCTTCTCCGGAGACTCAGGGCGGCTTACAATGCGCTAAGCAATAGCCTTCATTCTTTTGTATATTTACAAAGTCAGCTTATTGCCCCCACAATCTGGGTCCTCAATTTACCTTCCTTAGAAAGGATGGAAGGCTGAGTTAACCTTGAGCCTGGTGAGATTCGAACCTGCAGTAATTGTAGGCAGCTGTTCTTAATAACAGTGTGCTTTAGACCACTGTACTACCAAGGCTCTTAAAACACTTCCCATGTGTTTGTAGCTGTTCAGTAGAAAAGATATGCAGTTAGTCAACAGATGTTTATTCACATTTTATGCTAACATTAATCATCAGAAAATGTCCCTAAATTCTGACAGGAGACAACTTTTGTGATGGACAAACCCTGTGGTAGAATTCAAAAGCTTTTACTACTGGTTCTGTGGGCGTGACATGGCTTGGTGGGCGTGGCAGGGGAAGGATACTGCAAAATTCCCATTTCCTCCTGATCAGCTGGGACTCAGGAGGCAGAGAATAGATGGGGGTGGGACCCGTCAGAGGTGGTATTTACCGGTTCTCAGAATTACTCAAAATTTCCACTACCGGTTCTCCAGAACTGGTGATAACCTGCTGAATACCACCTCTGGACAAACCAATTCACTGAGCAATAAAATGTGTTTATTGTTATGCAACAAAAGAGCAATAAAATAGTATTATTTTTATGCAGCAAAAGAAAAAAAATACTTTTTGTTTTATATTCCTATTTTAATGGTCAGCAACCAGAGACTAACAATGTAAAAGTTGCTCATGCTGTCTACTCAGAGGAAACCAAATTGTTAGAAAACTTAGCTGTATCACTTAAGTTCCTTGGCTATTTGGGCAGAGTTGAACATGTCTGCAAATGATCCATGATACTTTACTAGTGCTTCAGATGTTGTTTTCCAGAAGTGAACCCTGGCACTTCAAAAGAGGCCCTTTGCCAAATAAAGTTCTGGGAACCACTGCAGCACAAAAAACTGAAGAGAGAGATTTATTGGGCAAGAAGCCAGACAGAGAAATGGTTCCATCCTTTAAACAAAACAAAACAAAATATCTCTGTATTGAGATATAAGTGCCTCAGCACTTAAATTAGGCATCAGCTGCTCTGGTGATGAGATCCTCCTATTCATTATTATGCGAGAAATTCCCAGGGAGATAAGGACAGCCACGCTATGGAGCTCCAGGTCTTTTGTTTCACTCTTGCTGCCATGTAGTAAGAAGTAACATCTGGTCTCCAGTCTGCTACAATTATATATTTAGAATCTGACAGCAAATGCAAAGGAAACAGGACAATTTTTTTACTCTCTGTTCTAGTATTTTAATTGCTGAAACTTCCAGATATTCCTTCTTCTGTACTATTCTTTTGTCACTGTTAACATGATATAATTTGGAAATGCCAACAATATGTATAATAGGAAGTAGAAGCATTTTTGCTATTTCCCTCCCTCCTCCCTTAAATGACTCAAAATAATCATGTAAACATAGAACCTGAGGATAAAAAGCATCTTTCTGACTATCTGTCATATGATGAAATCAATGTCTTCCAAATCAAGTTGCCTAAATTACAGGCCTGACTGTAGGTGTTTTGTATAATGCAGGAACACACAGTTGGATATCTCTCACTAATGGGTATAAAAATAAAACATTTCTAGAAAGCTTAGCAGCAAGGGTTCCCCCCCCCCCAATTGTTTAAGAAATTGACACTGATCCTACCCAACTCAGGAGGTTCAGGATATTAACCCAATCCTCTTGTGTCAAATGGCAATATGCTGACAAAATAGAATGATAAGTGTAACAACATGGCAGCAATGACAAAAGTTTAATTGGTCATGTCCAACTGTCTTTAGACTGGTTTTGGCATTTTATCCACCTATCAAGAGGGATAGGCAGATTATTATTGTTTAATAATATTAAAGGTATCATCACATATTATTATGGTTGCCAGATGTTTAGACTGGATTTGGCTTTTTTTTCACCTACTGAGTCTTTCCCAGGAACTGGGCTAAGCAGATGTTATTTGATGGTGTTAAAGCTATGGTTTCAAAAAAAAAGAAAGAAAAACAAAAACCAAGAAAGTCCAGTTGCTTCCTGAAAAAGCACCTTTAGGACAACCATGACCTGGATAACTGAAAATCTCTACAGACAATGGTCTCAGGATGTAAGCTGTTCCAAGTAAAGCTGCCTTTTGCAATTGACTAGCAGTGATTTTGTCACTGTTGATGGTATTCAAGTGGTGCTCCATATGTTTTGGGATTGCAGTCAAAAGTATCTATTACTATTCATACTATCTTTGCTTTCTTTTGCCACAGTCCTTCGACTTCTATATGCAGATCTTCGTATACTGTCTCCAAGTACGGTAACATCCGTTATCATTAAGTCTTTCTTATCAACAGTTGTTTTGTCTTGGATGTTATGTAGCACATGCTTGTCTGTTTGAATTATAAAGTCCAGAGCATTTGAGTTTCCTCATTTTCAATTACTTTCTCTATTTTGTGGTCCCACTAGTTCTTACTTGCAGGCAAATGGTATTTTTTGCAGAGATTACAACAC